ATATATATATATATATATATATATATAAGCTTGTATATCCTTGTTTCCGTCCATATTCAGAGTCTGTCTTGGAACTTTTTTTGCGTAATGATTTGTTTCGAATGTCGTGTAACAGGCTCAGCGCCTCAAAGCCTATTTGTTAAAGAAACATGGTCCCCGTTCGTGAAGCAAAATCATGTCCATATTCAGACTAGGGTCGTTATTGGTAAATTCATGTAGGATACTAGGAAGAAAATGATAGGTTTGGATATAGACTGACGTCAGGACAATGGTTTCCCCTGTATGGTATTAGGAGATAAACCATGGCTCGTGTTGGCAGGGGTGCATCCCTGAAATAGATCTGTCACCTACCGGGATCATCGATGAGTATCTACCCGCTACCGTAATAAGATTATGCAAATTTAATAATAATACAAAAGAGACATGAAATAAATATCTTTCTTTCTTTATTTATTTCTTCCCTTCCTTTTACCCTATCAGGGTGTCGGATTTGGGTTAGCTATTTTAATTTCCATTTACATTCTTCCATTCTTTTCTGTTTGTTGCCATTATTTTCAATTCGTCGAGTGATTTTTGTTTATGTTTTCCCGCCTCTACTACAGCTGTATCCATTTTTTTCTTGGTCTGCCTCTTTTTCTTTTTCCGATGTTTTTTGCTTCATAAACTTTTTTTGTTAGTCCATTGGGTTACATCCTCATCAGATGCCCATACCAGTTCATTTGTCTCTTTGCTATTTTGTTCATTATCGGTTCCTGTTTGGCCATTCTCCTAATAGTCTCGTTGCTTAATCTATCCCGTTTTGTCTTTCCAGCTATTCTTCTTAGATGTCTCATCTCCATTGCGTTTATCCTGCTCTTATATTTTTCCAGAATTGTCCAGTTTTCACTTGCATAGAGCACAGTCGGTAACACAATAGTAGTGTTATATATTTTTATTTTTGTTTCTCGTGTAAGTTCTCTTTTTTCAATTATTGGGGCTAACGCATAGTATAACCTGTTTGATTTCTTTGCTCTATTTGTTATTTCCCAGTCTATTTTTCCGTCATTAGTTATTATACTTACCAGGCATTCGTAAATTGTTACTATTTTCAATTCTGAGTTTTTACATTTTATCTTTATTGGATTATCTTCCTTATCTTCTTTGCCGCTGATTATCATTATCTTAGTTTTTTCTCGTTTATCTCTGTTTTTAGTTCTTCTATTTGTTCTACCCATATATCCATAATATATATTAGTTTCTGCATTTTATTGTCGGAATCTGCTATTAGTACTATATCGTCTGCATACATTAAGGACTCTCTTGTTACCGGTTGTAATCTGTGGTAACCTATTATTGTCTGTAGTTGATTGGTTCTGACTCTAGTGTTTCTCATCAATTCGTTCATTACTATTATGAATAGCAAAGGGCTGAGTCTATCTCCCTGTTTGATACCTCTCTTCCAATTAAATGCTTCCGATCTTTCCCCTGCTATTTGTACCCTTTCTTTTACCTCTTTGTAAGTACTTTCTATAATTTTTATCAATGCATTGTACATTTATTTTCCTCAAGCATTTCCCTATAATATGTTTTCCTATCGTGTCAAAAGCTGCTTGTAGGTCTATGAATGCTAATACTAGTTTTTCCCCCTATCTATGCTTCTTTCTATTAGGTTTCTAATGAGATGAGAAATAAATATCAAAGCTCACAAATTTACATTAAAAAAAAATTACAAAATTAAAAATGAAATATATCTCAAAATTAAAATTAATAATTATTTCTGCCTTATTTGAACTGGTTTTAACAAGCCTCTCCTTCCACACTTCTATCCACAAACTACAAAAATAAAAATGGCACATAAAGAAATCATCAAGAGAAACCAAGAACCAATAAAAATATTTAGGTGACCAAACGGCAAGTAAGAATGGTAAAAAATGTATATTGTCAAGAATATAGCACAGGAGACTAATACAATGATTCTTTTTTTCCTATTGCACCAAGGAAAGCGTTGCATTTGTTGGCTACTAAAAGGGTATACGTGACGCAACCGTAGCTGAAATTGGTAAAAATATACAATTAAAACTATTGATTAATTTTGTCTTATGTTTCTGTTGATGTGAACTCCTTTCCACGAAACGGGCAAAGTAAACTCGATCAGATACACCGAGTTTACTCTACACATATTATGGAACCAAAGTCGAGTGTGGTCGAATCTTCATCCATGTTACCAGTTCACCTTGTCAAAGAAGACTAATGCCATGATTTTTTTTTTTTCTGTTGCATCAACGAACCATTTTTATCCACGAACTACTTTTTTCACCAAACTAGTAAAATGAAAATGGTACATGCAGAAACCAACAAGAGAAACCACGAATTGATAAAAATATTTAAGTAACAGAACGATAGGTAAAAATGGTAAAAATGTATATTGTTAAGAATACACCAAAGGAGACCGATGCATTGGTATCTTTTTCTCTGTTACAATAAAGTACCAATAAATGCAGTAATTTATTTCCAAGAAATGGCTAGCAAAAGGGTATACGTGATTCAACCGTAGTTGAAATATACAATTACAATTATTGAATAATTTTGTCTTATGTTTCTGTTGATCTGAACTCCTTTCCACGAAAGGAGCAAAATAACCATTTTACTCGATCAGATACACCGAGTTTACTCTACACGCCTCATGGAACAAAGAAATCTTCATCCATTTTATCAGTTCACCTAGTCAAAGAAGACTAATGAGACGATTTTTTTTCTGTTGCACCAACGAACCATTTCTATCCACGAAACTATTTTTCCCGCTAAACTAGCAAAAGGAAACTGATACATATAGAAACCATCTATAGAAATCTAGAACCGATAAAAATATTTAGGTAACGGAACGATAGGTAAAAATTGTAAAAACTGTAGTGTTGAGAATACACAAAAGGAGACCAATATAATGTTTCCTTTTTTTTTCTAAAAATTGACTGGCAAAATGATATAATGTGACGCAACTGTAGCTGAAATTGGTAAAAATCTACCATTACAATCGGTTACTAATTTTCTGGTATATTTCTGTACATGTGAACTGCTTTCCACGAAACAGACAAAACAATCTCGATAGAAGTAGATCGTAGTTGCTTCAAGAATGGAAACATACATTGGAATAGCAATGATAGATAGAGACCTCATAGAAGGTGATTGGGAAAATAAAGTGTCGTGGAGGGCGAAAACGGCGACCTCATAATGAGATAAGCCGAAAAAGAAAAAATCATTTTCGTATTTAAGCATTTGTTACGAATTTTTTTATGATAAGTTATTTTGAAAAAAAGGGAATTTTTTGCGAAATTCCGAAAAATAGTATCTTCACTTTAAACTCGTCTTTTTTTCAGAACTAAACCTTTTATACCAGGTAAACTTCTAGAATGTAATGCTTGTTTACAAGTATAAAGTAAATTGTCAATGAACAATGAATATTTTCAACCATGGTAGTTTTGGCGGGAGTTAGTTTTTAACTAGTGTTATATTAATTTTTTTAATCTACAGTAAAAGCGGAGGCAAGGGTCATACATTGTAAATAAAAATCGTACGCGAAAAAAAATGTAAATTTTAGTTCATGTAGGACTTAATAGTTCATATTGGACAAAGATATCATATCAGGTTTTAAAGTCACGAGATAATTCAATGATTATTATTCTCTAAAAAAACTAAAGAGACGCACATGAAAACATAAGAATTTTACAAGCAGCTACATTTTTGGCATCATTATTTTCAACAGTAAAACTTTTAAAAACAACAATTTTTTATTATCGATTATCTCAACTTAGTATTATACCAAACAAATGAGAACTTACATATTTGATACGACGATCTAAGAGCTCTCCTCTCATCGGAGTCGTTACCAGCCTGTCCGCAAAGCTATCCATAAACTCCGCCCCAATCGCATGACACTTGTTGGACAGTCTTACTAGGTGTTATCTTAGATTACTTGGGAAAAGAGGGCATCCGAAAATAGTGCCTATTTCGTAAAACTTCCGTATGCCTTAACTGTGCATCTTCACCGTGTGTGTGCATTCTTAGCTGAACGTGTAGGTCCTCAATCGATCTGTAGAATCTGTAAAATGAATTAGTATTAGTATGTAAAGTAACTTTTACCACTTTTTTCCCACGAGTATTATACAAATTCTTGAGAATCATTATATGAGATTTTGTTTATTGAAAACATTTGAGTGTGAATTATTTCATTATTTTTAGTTCAATATATAGTGTTAGATCATATGTGTTTTTTATTGTTCCGGTATTCTTTGGACCTTACCTTTCACATGTAATAGCATAGATATTGAAGCACGAATTTAACCCTGAGATAAGAGAATTAAAAAGTGTGATAGAGTCATAATCATATCATTTAAATAATTTTAATTAATCAAAAAAAATTAATTAGCTAATTATTGCTTGGCGCACCAAGACTTTAAATATCACAATAACTGGCTTCCAAAACGTGGGGCTTGAAAATATCGCAGCTTTACATTTGAAGGAAGGGAAAGAGATCTGGAATAAGTACAGGTGATCCAGAGATAAAAACATATAACATTGAGGGAATTTGAATTTGAAAGTATTTGACAATTTTTTTTCAGTGGATATAAATTTGATTTATTGATTGATCGTAGTTAGTTGATATTTACTGCTATTGAATTATTTGATTTTATTTTACCAATCGTACATTTGATATTTATTTTGAATTATTTGAATTTTACTGAGTGCATATTTGATATTTGTCGTGAAAATTTATTACAATTGGGGAGAAATATTGTCGTGTTCTGCAACATATAGAGGGTTGTAAAATTTCACATTTGGCGGGGACAGTAACGAAAAGAAACAACATGTCGACCACAAGGAGTCAAAGCAAAATGCAAGAAAGGAAGGAGGATAACAGAGAAGAGGAAACAATGTTTGAAGAAGGATCGGATAATGAAGGAAATGTTACAATAATAGAGGAAAGAAAAGAAACAGGGATGTTAGAAAAATTATTAGCAATGATGCAAATACAGACACAACAAATACAAGAGAATCAAAGAGAAACAGCAAAGAAAATGGAAGAGACAATAGAGAAAAACCAAAAAGAAACATCGCAAAAAATGGACGAAAATAACCGCAGACTGGAAGAAAACCAGAAGGAAACTAAACAGGCAATAGAAGAAAACAACAAAAAGATTGAAAGTATCAAGGAAGATATGGTACAGAAAATAGAAGTAATTGTACAGGAAAATGCGAAAGTGAAGACAGAAATTAAAGAAATGAAACTTCAAATGAAAGATATGAAGACTGTCCAGAAAAAGGAATTAGAACAGTTAGAAGAAAAATTTGAAATGGCGCTTCAAGAAGACAGGAAGGAAGTAGAAAGGAGATTAAAGCAAAATGAAAAACAAATGGCAGAAATTGAACTAAGAGGGGTAGAGAGAAAAGAAGTTATCATCCATGGAACAAGCGAGGCGAAAATACAATTTGGCGGGGATATTCGGAAAACACACCCAGTACCGTTTGTTAAAAATTTGAAAACCAAATTGCAACATGTTAGATATTTTGACGATTGCAAAGAAACAATTAGAAACCATCTGAAAGAAGGAGCAGCGTTATGGTATGAAAGCAAGGAAGATGAATTTGAAAATTGGACAGATTTTGAAAATAAATTTCTCAACTATTTCTGGGGGAAAAATAAACAGAGAGAAATCAATCAAGAGCTACAGAATGGAAAATATCACGAAAAAATGGGAATATCTGAAGAAAGATATGCTTTGCAGATATATAACAATTCAAAATATCTAGAATACAAATATTCTACCGAACAGCTGGTAGAAATGATCAGCAGACATTTTGAGGAAACGTTGGAAGATCACGTGATTTTGAGAAACTATCAAGATATTGATAGTTTGTGCCAATTCCTTCAATTAAAAGAAGCGAAAAGAAGAGAAATGAGAAATAGAAGACAACATGACCAATATAATGGACCGGAAAGAAGGTATTCATCAAATTATGACCAGAGAAACCGACATCCCAGATCAACAAACGAATATAGGCCGAGAAATTACAATAATTACAATAGACAACAAAATTACGATAACAGGAATGACACACAACATAGAACATATGAAAATCACAACAGGAATAGAGATGCACAAAATCCTCCGAATAGGAATACTAACGAACAAAGGGACGATAGAAATAACCAGAGCTTCCAACAACAAAATAGAAGGGAGATGAATCATGTAGCAATAGGAAACGAAAGACAAATTTCTAATTCTAATCTAATATTTTTAGATGCATTTATAAAACATAAAGCGATTAAAATTGTGATTGATTCTGGATCGGAGATATCGCTAATCAATAAAAAACTAGTAAAAGAATTAAATTTGGACAGATTTGTGTATAAGATTCCTAGGGTTGATTTAGTGGGTCCAAACAATAAAAATTTGACGACAGTAAACGAAGGTTTGGGAGTACAGATAAGAGTGGGGGACAAATTCCATATTATGAAATGTGTGGTGATTGAAGATTTAAATCATGATATGATAGCGGGAATTGATGAATTGAGGAAAAAAGATATCACCATAAATTTTTCGGAAAATAAACTGGAAATCAGAGCAGAACCAGACAACACAGAGAAGAAAAGCAAACAGATAGGAAAACAAATTCTGGAAGGATCAATGCACAGGAAAAACGCAAAGAAATCGATATGACTGTAGAGGATAAACCGAAAGTACAAGAACAAAATCTAACAGAAGAGAAAAAGAGAAGGAAGAAAAAGAAGAAGAGTTCGAAAAGAAAGCAGGAAAATAAGATGGAGACAAGAGAAAAACAGGAAATAGAAGGTACAGAAGAATTGTTGGCAACCGACGATAAAACAGAATGGAAGCAGGAAGAAAAAGAAGGTATCATCAGAGAAATGAAAGGAATAGAAACTTGGTGCTCGGAATACCAAAGGGAATTAGAGAGATAAAAAGAAAACAGAAGAAAAAATGGCACTGATGGACGAGAATCCAGAATTTTGTGAAGAAATATTATGGACAGTGAACACATGTGAACAAAAGGAGGATGAAAGAAAAATAAATTGTGGAGAAAACATGGGAAAGAAAATAGAGAAGATTTTAGGAAACCATGGAGATCTTGTTAATGAAGTAAACCGAGTGGCTAAAAATTATGAACTTTCTTTTAAGGGAAAATACTTGGAAAAATTTAAAACGAAATATATCCAATCCCGTATAAAGACAGGCAATATACGGGGTATTTTAACATTCACGACATTTATCAGTATCATAAGTAGATTTTAATAACATAGTGAAATAATTTGATCCTAGAAAACTTTTGTCATTTTTAAAATTTAACAAAGAGTTTTCGGCAGATCAAATGGCGGGGATTTGTTATGATATGTAAAAACGAGAAAAATATTGGTTTGTTTAAAATATTTCAAAATTCAAAAACATTAAAATAATTCAGATAAGTAGGATAATACCCAACAAACATTTCGAAGAAGGAAAGTATTTAAAATTTTTGGATTACCTGTATTAAACAAAATGTACTATGCATAAATTATTTCTTTTGTTATACTATACTTGAGTGACCCGCATAATTTTAAGTGAAATCCAAAGAACAATTGAACCGGGTTTTCCAAATACATTAACGCAGTGATTATAGACAATAGAAGAGATTTGGAAAGATGTTTTTGTTAGTTTTTAAGAATTATAGAAAAATATTATTTGTAAATAAGTTTTAGGAAATTTTATAATTATAGGTAAAAATTTGTTTGTTATCGGAATGAAAGAATGGGGAATTGTGACGAGTTTTGATTGGCGGAGATTAAAAAAGGTGGGATAGGTATGTAGGAATGAAAGTTTAGCTAGATTTAGGAGAGAGAAAAGATAATCAGTTGGTTTTCCAAGTCTGTAAGACGAACAGTGATTGTTCTCTGGCGGTTCCCGAGAAGTAGCAAGCAGTAGTGTTGAATGTTAGTGAGTTTTTGTATAGTTAGTGTATCTGACAGAAGCTGAAGCAGCAAAATATTGTAAGTCATATTTTTCTACTTATATTCCAAGAGTCACTGTTCAGGCCAACGAGAGATTCAGTTTATCGTAAAGAAAAGATATTCCAAGAGTCATTTTTCACTCAGGCCAACGAGAGATTCAGTTTATTGAGAGAAGAAGAAGCTAGCATAATTTGAACGATTCGTGCATTTGAAGGAGATCATTAAGGACGATATACTTGCAATAATTTGTTGTAAGATTGCTGATTACCTAGGGAGCGGCCACGAGTAAATAATATAGTCTACAAATAACAAGGATTTGGACCACTCATCATCAGAGAGAGATAGTTTTGTTTTCTGTAGTTTTTCTTTCATTGATAACACAATTTTTACACTTAATTTAGAAAGGATATAAGTATTTTGATTAGGAGATTTAGAAAAATATTGGGGATTTTGAGATTTCAATTAATATTGTTTGTACCATTAATTTTGAAGATTCACGTACGTAGAACAAATTTTTGAGAATCATTATATGAGATTTTGTTTATTGAAAACATTTGAGTGTGAATTATTTCATTATTTTTATTTCAATATATAGTGTTAGATCATATGTGTTTTTTATTGTTCCGGTATTCTTTGGACCTTACCTTTCACATGTAATAGCATAGATATTGAAGCACGAATTTAACCCTGAGATAAGAGAATTAAAAAGTGTGATAGAGTCATAATCATATCATTTAAATAATTTTAATTAATCAAAAAAAATTAATTAGCTTAATTATTGCTTGGCGCACCAAGACTTTAAATATCACAATAATATATATATATATATATATATATATATATATATATATATATATATAATATATATATATATATATATTAATATATGTATTATATATATATATATATATTATATATATATATATATATATATATTATATATATATTTATATATATATATATTGTAATGAGAACAGAAATACAATAAATTAGCATAGAAATATATTTAAGTCAGCCATGTGTATATACAACCAGATATACACTATTAATTAATAAATTTATTTAAATAGTAATTAAAGACATAATTTATAAGTTATATACTAGATAATATTATTAAAAAATAATTATATGAGGGTATTTTTAAGAATCTAGCGTATAATAAATGTTAAAAGTTTTTTTTAATAATTATAAATATATATAAGTCAGCCATATGTATATGCAACCAGATATACACTGTAGTGTCAAAAGCCAAAAGGGGTTTATTTATTTGTAATGTTAATTTAAAATATAATTACGGTTGAAAATGGTGATAATATAGGTAATATAAATGTTTAAGTTACATATAATAGTGTAATTCTGATCTGAAGAGCCTAAATGTCAGTTAAATTGTACATGTAGACCAGAGAAAGTTCTAGAAACGTCAATAGGACTATTTGCATAGTCCATTACATAGACAAAAACCATTCCATTTATTGCAGAATGTTCAGATAGAAAAAATAGAACGATTCGAACCTTATTTATTGCTAGATTATTCTGGAACCATGAAAAAAATATAAATACCATGTAATTTGCAGCAGGGAGTTAGTTAGTTAGAAGAATTCAAGGCATTAAGTTACAGGGGATTATTAAATCAGTTACATTATGATTATTAAGTAAGTTAGAGTTGATTTGTGAAGTGAGTTAAGTAACAAGAAGTTACAGTCAATTATTAAGTGAATTAGTTTGAAGAATTTAAGAATTCAAGGATTATTACATAATAATAATAAGTCAATTACAGGTGATTATTAAGAAGTCATGAAGATTATTGATTATTGATAATTCATAAGTTAGTTATGATGGAATTAAGTTAGAAGATTATTAGAAGAAGTCAGATTATTCATTATTACTATTATGTCAGTTACAAAGAAGAATTAAGAAGAATTTATGAGGTTCTGAAGAGATTATTAGCTAGAAGAAGACATTGATTATGTTCAGTGAATTAATTAAGTCAAATACAGTTGGAGATTCATTATTACTACCGTAATATAGTGACAGTATGAAGTTAATTCATTGAAATAAGCATTCAATAGTACAACCACAAGATCCAGTATATTTGAAAGTACATTATATGGAAATTACAAGGATTTATATATATATAATATATATATATATATATATATATATATATATATATATATTATATATATATATATTGTTTTTTCGCAGTTTTTTAATCTTGGTTTTATTATATAAACATTTAAATAAACACATTTGTTATAAATACTCCACATAAAGGATACAATTCTTAAGCCTCCATATTTCAGTAGTTCTAGTTTTATGTTCCCTGGCTCTGGTACTTTTTTGTTTTTGGCTTTCATTAGTACCTTAATTATATCTTTCTCTAATAATATTGGCTTTTTCCATTATTACTGTCACAGGGTCTTGTGAGATAAACTCCTGCAATCATTTTGTTCAATGCTTTGTACATTCCTTTGGTGTAATTATCATTATATTTTTCTTCGTTTATTACTTTTGACTTTTTTTTCATACTTACCTTGATATGTTGTACCCTACCGTGCTAGTTGTGTCTCTGGACATTCTCTCTCAATATTAGTTCTTCTCGAGTCTTATTCTTTGCTTCACTATGGGGGTAACATATTCTTTTCGTGTTCCTGGGGTTCTGTCGTTGAGCTATTTATCAAACGGTTGCCTTTTCCAATACATTTTATAGGGCGGTGCACAAATTTTCCTTTTCCCTTACGGTTGCATTGTCATTCATTGCATAGAGACTAACAATTATTGTTGGTTGTCCAACAATGTCATTCTAATTTCGATTATTCATTTATTTATTTGCTGGTAATCTTCTGTGTTTTATCCATGTAATTTTTCATTAACACTGATACTTCTTTTGCTGCTTTTTGATGTTTGCGAGCCGCACTCCATATATGTAAGTATATTTCTCCATAATTACTTTTCCTTGTCTTTTTTTTGTTCTCTTAACCCATTAAGGGCCGAGACAATAAACAAAGAGAAATTTGACAATTGATTTATTAGATTGGATTAAAAACACATAAATTAAGACTAATTTACAACAAAAAGGATCTTTTTTTCTCATGAAAGGAAAAACAGGTGGGTGCGTATACGCACCTTTGACCGAATACGCATAAATTTTTTAAAAAAGGAACATATTGTATTTTAACTGTAAATTAAATTTTAAGATAAAAATTTTCGAAACATTCGGGGTGTAGATGCACTTTACACTTTTTACATAAATAAATAGTATTACTTTTGCACATCCGACATTTTTTTTCTTGCACTATTATCGTCTCTTTTTATAATGTGGCCAATATTGTCGAATCTAGTTTCATCTGGTAAAGCAAATTTAGATGGACGTCCATATACTGAGTTTGACAATGATGTATCGGTTTCTTCACTATTCTCTGCATGTCCACTATATTTTAGTAAGTTAAGAACCAATCTCGAACGAAACTCCAGTTGGGAAATTTTAGAATTATTGGAAATTCTAAAAATTTTCCAACTATTGACCACACACACACACACACACAATCACGCTAAGCGATCAACCCTACCCCTAGGAACATGTGTATACCAAACTAAGTATGGGATCCACATGTCCGAAGATCATACCGGTCACACTTCACTAGTTGACGTGGTACCTATCTGACCCCCAGGCTTTTCCTCCACCCCTCCTCATCGTGTGACTTACGTGAGGAGGCTTATGATCTGAAAGTTACTTGCGGTGCCCTGGGGAATGAGACACCTCCAGTTTTTAATTACTGTGGTTATGCCACCTAACTGTAGGCTTTTCTCCCTATTTACTTTACTGACTGTATAGATTTTACTCTAACTTCACTTCGGGACTGGAGTCCCTAAAAAAACAAAAGAAAAGGAGCGTGTGTTCCGTTCATGAAGCCGACAGCCTGGGCTGTCGACTTCATGTCCGGAAGAAAGTGTGTGCTCGGTCACTCAGCCGCCGATTTGGCAAAAGTAAATTTTGTTCTCCTCGCCGGCTGGGCGCCCGAAGTGTGTCCGACCACCGAGCCCATGCTTGCCGCACATGACCTCAGTGCTCGGGTGTCGCGAAAAGGATCAGCATTCACTTGATCCGCCTTAAGGGTCTAATCCGCATCAGCGGTATATAGAAGGCCTATCGGGCTTTCTATATAGAAAAATAGGATGAATTTTACGTTAAAACGTTTAATGATTTGAAATTGATTTTGAGCTCTGAATTGAGCTTTGAATTTAAAAGAAAAACAACCGATTTTTTTTTTGGTTTGGGGGTCTTCCTTGGCGTTGGAACTCTAAAATGCCGGCACAATACTTACCCTTTTGTTCTTACATGCTAATATTTGTGTGGCTGTGTTGGGGTGTGCATTGCATGGTGTATATGGCCTCCACACACCCCGGTGTATATTGTTCTCACCTAAGTGCCTTGGCACCTGTATCCTCTCACCAGAGTCCTAAAAATAGATATTTTTTTTGTTGGTTGTTTTTCTGACGACTGCATTATTTTTATTTGACGTCCTTGCGACCATCTCATTCTTCATTTATTCGTTAGGGTTCCTATATCCGGCTATTTGCTGTTTAGGTCTTCTGTGCACTGTCCTGGTATTTGCATTGTAATTAGTCAGCTCTCTTAATATGCTACTTGGGTGGTTGTTTAGTCCGTTGAATAATTCGTATGCCTTTTTGTCCATTGTGTGAAGGATCCTTGTTTGTCCTGAGTCTCTGTACAAATTTCTCAGAGGTACATATCTCTGTAAGTTCAGGGCATCTCTTATTAGTTGATTTTGCGTTGTTTGTATTTTTTTCCTGTTTGTTTTACAGGTGTGTCCCCACACAGCAGAGGCATACGAGAGGACTGGCAGGATAACTCTATTCGCAATCCTGATTTTGGTTTTAAACCTTAACTTACTTCTTCTGCCAATAAGGGTTGAGAGCTGATTTTTCAGCGCTTTGGCTCTATACGTTTGCTAATTTGATAATAAACGTAGAACTTGTAGTTCGCATGAGTGTTCGCTTCTGAATCCAAATTAAGCTTCTGGTATTTGCCTAGTGCTTCCGATTCGTGGTTGAATCTTTTTAATATGACTCTTTCCTTATCTTACTTACTGATGATAGTAGGCTGATAGGTCTGTAATTTTGCGGAAAAGTTCCATCCTTCCCTGGTTTTTTAATCATGAGAATTTGTGCCTCTTTCCATCTATCTGGGAAATCTCTTAGTTTGAGCATGTTGTTTACGATGTTCGTTATGTAGACAATAGCCTTGTTGGGTAGATTTTTTAGTGCCCTGTTTGTGATATTGTCAGGTCCTGGGGCTTTTTTGGCGTTTGTTAGTTTTATTAGCTGTTTTATTTCTTCAGGAGATGTATGTGTTATTCCTACTCTGCCCTTTCTTCTCTTTAGTCTTCTGGCTGTTCTTTCTACCTCTTCTTCGAAGTCTATGTCTTCATT